CTTGGTTGTGTTTAATACAAAGTTTTGGTATATTCACATTAACTTCTCTTTATTTTTGACTGTAAACTTTCTTGTACAAAAATAAACATTAAAAGAAATTTTTTGGATCAAAATATAACAACTAAATAAACTATAAGACAAGTCAAACAAAGCTGAACAGGTGTATATTTATACTTATAAAGAATGAAGAGTTCTATAAAAAGTTCATGAAAAGTGGGAGTTTAAGTTTATTATTATATAACCTCATAACGCTATTAAAAAGTAAGAAGAATCACATTTTCCAATTCTCCTTTCATTTGAAAATAATGAATCAGTTTTGTCACCTACATGTAAATGACTGTGTGTGTGTGTGTGTGTGTGTGTGTGTGTGTGTGTGTGTGTGTGTGTGTGTGCGCGTGTGTGTGTGTGTACACACATACCGTCAGAGTCTCCGCTCATGGTGAAGTCCAGCATGGCGTGGCTGAACTTGTCCTCCGCCTGCTGCTTCAGCTGCTGACTCAGACTCTCCAGGGCGGCCTTCTCCTAAACAACACAAACAGTTCACAGTCGGTCAGAGTGTGATTCAATCAGAGTGAAAACATGAATGAGTGAAACCACCGACCTGCAGTGATGCAGAAACATTTTAGTATTTATAAACAAATAGATTTTTTTAGCATCTTAAGTTTTTCATTGATATGATTTATTTTGCAGTTATACATATAAAGAGTAATGTCTAATTTCACAATCTCCATTTACCACATACATCTCATTAGATGTCTGTTGGCCTAAAGCACATCCGTCCACAGCAAATCAGTTTTAAATATGTTTGAAATCCTTCGCCGAATAACAAATCAAAGCAGAAATCTCAGAAATGTTCCCCTTTGTTCTGATATCAATCGGCTAATGACAATAATGTTTGATTAGTGGATTCAAACGGAGAAAGCAGAGGAATAACAGCAACGGTTTCAGTAGACAGTTTGTGTTGTAGTTTGTTTGCTGAAATGTTAATGTCAACAGCAAATTGTTAGAGTGCTGTACGCCTTCATGCTTGAACACACATCTGTGTTTGTTTGCATGTGCAAGAATGTTGATTACATTTAGTCCTATTTGGATGTTTACTGTTGTGTGTGTATACAGTATATGTTATGTGTGTGTGTGTGTGTGTGTGTGTGTGGCGGCTCCTGGCAGCCACCTGCGAGAGTGGAGTGCAGCGGCTTGCCTCCCTCTCCCAGAGGCCCCCGAGGGTCGACGCATTAGAGGGAGAGAGAACGGGAGAGTGCAGCGCGGACGAGAGCGAGGCCACGCCGCACGGTCCCCTGGGTATTTATTACAACCAATAAAAGCCTGATTTACTGAGCATTTACATGCTTAATGCAAGCAGCCGGCACTCTCCGCTAGAACCTGACTGTCGACGAACACACACACACACACACACACACACACACACACACACACACACACACACACACACACACACACACACACACACACACACACACACACACACACACACACTCCGCAGTGCTTCAGCGCCAGCATTTTACAGTTTAATTACATGATTACGAGCAGAACCCAAAACACTGTTGTCTTCTAAAACAACCTTCCCAAAAGTGTCCCTCTCCATTTATATGTGACCCTGGCGAGCCGGCTGGCGATAATGAAATGCATTTCCTCTGTTTTTAGTCCAGCTGAGTTGAATTGTTAGAGATCATTTCCCCCCAGATTGGAATAAATACAGCTAAAGAGACGAGAAGGCAAGGCTTTGGAAATGTTCTCTTTTGGTTTATTTGCAAGTCATTAATAAGCATTTTATTATGTTTTAGTAAAAGAGGATTTATCTATCAGATTTTGAATGTAAATACTTAAGAATGTTCCTTTCCTCTCCACAAACCTTATTCAGGAAACAAGCACAAAATGTGCCTCACACTTTTTGACTTTAAGCCTGAGTGTGCCGTTACAAAGGGCTTTTTGCTGTGTGTGAGACAGAGACCAGATGAACAGGAGACAGAGTGGATGACAGCCTAGTCTGACATTAAGCCCCAGTACAGTACATGAGAAAAGTGGATTGAATGGCTGACACTGGAGCCAAGACACAAAGTAGCGACAAAACTAATCCTCTGAGTGTGTCAGAGATGACACTGTTGTAATGCTGAGAGCTCGCCGGCTGCACAAAGCCACGGGCCGACGTGCAGCGCGTGGCTTTCGGAAGCTGAGTCGTGTTTTCTCCCAAATAAAGTCATCTAAAATATTACATCTAAACATACTTTAACTTATAAGGTCTTAAAGAGTATATAAGACTGCATGACAACAAAATACAAAGCATCTCTTCTTCTTAGTTTTAAATTAAAAACTGAAATCGACTGTCAAAATTCATAATTTGCACCATGTGTACAAGTCACAATAAATAGAAAACCTATTTTTGTCCCACCTCATTTCACTGGATGATAACATACTCTATTATTAGCAGATGTAACGACAATTATGTAATAAAACTATGTCTAATATTTAATTGTATAACAGCTTAAAACCTCCATCTAATGCGATGGATCTTTGAAACACGCTGTAAAAGATGCTCCTGACAATCAGCAGCCTTTCCCGATGCTCCCTCTCTTCCCAGGAGAGTTGCCGTGGTTTAAATCGAATTGGCAATTAGACTGTTTATTTTTACTGTATCTACAGTATACTGATGGTTACACTCTGTCTAAATGTGGATAACAACCTCAGTAAAACACATCAATCAGTGTGGGTTGGTCTGTCTGAGACACATCACAGGAGAGAGGGAAAAAAGGAAGAAAGAGACAGATAGAGCTGTTGAATGTCAGCGGTGCAGATGCTTCAAGCACACTGTTGCTCTGTAAGTGTGTGTGTGTGTGTGTGTGTGTGCATGCGCGTGCACCAGCTGACTCCCAATGTGTTTAACAAATAACCGCAATTTAGCCACGCTGCTGAGGAGCCGGCGCCGTCACTTCACATTACCGTCTCCCCAACGCTCCGCTCTGCCACACACACACACACACACACACACACACACACACACACACACACACACACACACACACACACACACACACACACACAAGTGGCCCCGCAGTGCGCCTTACAGACACACTCATTACCTCCGAGACGCCTCTGGTTTTACCTTATCTGGCCCTGTTTAGCCTCAACACATTTCAGCGAGCGCGTTGAACACCGATTTCCCTCCTACACGGTGCAGGAGGGATGGCATGTGGCAAGACAAATTATTACACACTGACAATGAGACAGCGCAGCTTGTGACAACTTGTTTACTTTTTTCTACGCATTTTTGGGAGAATTTACAAATGTAAACCTTTGGAACCAGTTGTATTATTTTTCTATTGACATAATCCACGCAGTTTTTGAAGCAATTGATGAGTGGGAGTTATTTGTCATAAACTGTTTTTTTTACAGATGCAGAATTACATTAATGAAGACTGTATTATAATATGTATTTTAATCAAATTGTAGACCAAATATAAATGCTATCACATAGTGACAGTTGACCTTTTAAACATCTGTTATTATGGATTTAGATTGAATTCATACAGTCCCCTGTTGCTAAGGTGACAACACATTCTGATGCTGTGGTACAGAGGTAAAGCTGTTTACCTTCTCTGATCGTCCGTTGTTGAGGCTGAGGTTGCTGACGGCGGCCACCTTGGCGTCCAACACCTGCTGCTCCCTCTTCAGCTGCTCCTTCATCTGCCGCGCCTCGGCGAAGGCCTTGCTCACCGCCTCGTGGTCGCTCAGGTAGGCGGTCGTGGACAGTGACGACAACAAGTCTGCTGAGACACGTTCAGGGACACGGGGAGAGGCGATTAATTTGGTTTTGTGTATCCATTAGTAGTGTGTGAAAGAGTCATTTAACTTGAGTGGCTCTGTATCTGCTGTATCTGTACTGTCAATGTACTTAAGTGTAATAAGAGCATACCAAATAGATGTGCGTGTGTGTTCATATTTCAGAGGAAGGCAGGAGGCTTTCATCCAGAATAAATCTTCCCGTGAACCATGAGGTAAAGACATTAACATATACTTGATGAAGGGAGTTTTCCTGTGTGTGTGTGTGTGTGTGTGTGTGTGTGTGTGTGTGTGTGTGTGTGTGTGTGTGTGTGTGTGTGTGTGTGTGTGTCTCCGTCTCCTTCTCTCTCAGACTCACACTGACCACTTCACTGTGGAGTGGGGCATGTGAGTCACAGTGTGCCCCTAGCTAGCCTCGCTACACGCTGCCCACAGCTTCCTCCACCTGCTGGCAGCGGTAAACACACACCACGTCTGTAAACACCAGCACTCCCTCTCAACTTCCACTCCTCTAAATCCAATTAAAACACCCATCTTTCCACACGCACACCAACACACCTCTTTTGATGTGAACCCTCACAGTTCCACTTTGAAGAGAGGTGGCCACATGACTCTTATTACGGCTACAAAGTCCTGCTAATTTCCCCAGTTGAGAACATCTGCCCTGCCACATCGCAAAGATCAAACCTCCCCGCTCCTCCTCGTCGCATATTATTTGTATTATTTCCGCAGATTAGTCGCCGATGAGGCATCTGCTCTGAATGTGTTTGTGAGGTTGTGTGCTATCGCCTCTCTCTATCAGGCGGGTTGGCTCCTAACAAAGAGCCGCGGCTGGCTTATGGGGCCTTTATCAGCGCTAATCCGCACCGCTAATGCCATCTCAAGCCAGATTACCAGCTTCAGATTGGTAATGACAGAGCCGTGAACTCTTTCAGAAGTCATAACCGGAAAATCTGGATGTGAGCGGGGCCAAAAAAAATGGAGGGAGAGGACAGAAGAGAGGGCGATGGAATCGGGTGGCAGTCCATTTTAATCTGGAGTCAAACGAGAGGGAAGGGGGGGGGGCAGATGGATATTCTCGTGCTCATGGATGTGTGTGCGAGTCTCGCTTAAACTGACAGCGATGCCAACCATCCAGACAAGTGAATGTGACCCAGATAGCAGGGGAGGGGGGTGTCTCTCTCTCTGTTTCTCTCACTCCACACACACACACACACACACACACACACACACACACACACACACACCGGTGCAATACCTTTTTTTTGGCCACCACTCTGGCAATAAGGTCAGGGGGGGGAACTGCAGTTTTGTGATGTGGACGAAGACAAATGTGTGATGGCGGTAGAAGTTAAAGGCGCTGACAGCCCTTCAGTTTGGTTTGAGATGGGAAGATGGACGGATGGATGGAGTAAGGGGGGGGGAGAGGGAGACATGCCTTTGGGTTGGTGGGTGTCAGAGAAGTGAGAGGTGAGACGAGCGGGAATAGGCAGATGACTGGAATTAATTCGCAAAGAGTGGAGTGTTTTTATTCCTTTTTAAGGTTTTAATTTCATCTTTAAAATCATATTTTATAAAGTATATTTTGTATGTTAAATCTGGTAACTCATTCCCTCTGATAGTGAAGTAAGTCATTCTTTCACTGCAAATCATATACAACGTTTGTTTGCCACCTTTTTGTTACTTCTTTTTTTTTACATTTTCAAATAGCATAAAAAACTAACATTCCTGTTGAATTATTTTCTTTTCTTTAAATTTTCACTCCATCCACTGCTTGCGTGTCTGTTTGTTTTTTCTTGTCTGAATTTAAATAACCTGAACACACATTCATCGTACCACCCACACACAGACATACAGACACACACACAGACACACTCTCTCCCCACATCAAAACGACCGCCTCTAGACTCTTTTCCAATTTGTCTGCCCCTTCTATCCCCTCTGAACTTGTAACAGGAATCCTAATACAACGATACACTGCAACAACAAACAGGCTGGTGACCGGCTCAACTCAGTGGCAACAGATGGGACCACGAAGTATGGCAAAACCAGGGATCTGCGACGCAAAACACACTGGCCTCCACACACAAATAAATCAGCGGGGATCACACACTAACTTTAAACACTGTAATCCATTTTTCTGAACAAAAAACATCTGGGACCGCAAATCCACTAATCTGATATTAAATCCGCCGATTTGTTGAAAAACAGTGAGATTAGCCAAGAAGTCAGAAAAAAAGGACTAACTGCCTATTGCACAGGAGGAGGAGGAGGAGGAGGTGGGATTGAGTGTGTGTGTGTGAGCCTTTGTGTGATTTCAGTGTGTGTTAGTGTGTGTGTGCTGTCATTGTGTCATTAATGCTGGGTGTTTGCGCTGTCCTGGCTCATGTAAGAGGCTTGTCTAATCTCATTGGTGATACCTCCTGTCTGTCATGCGTTCCTCTCTTTATTATTCCCCCGCTTCATCGCTCGGAAAAAAAGTGCTAATCCCCATCTCTCTCTCTCTCTCTCCTCACTGCTGTGTCTCTCTGTCTCTTTCAGTCACTAATAAACACATAACAATGGAGCAGCCCCGAGGCAAATAGCGACACGGAAAACAAACCACAAACACACTAATTATAGCCCGTTACATATGTTTAATATTTGAACTATCAGTGTTGCGTGAAAAATGGATTAAGACTACAAAATAGTGATTCATTTATGTCATATTTCATGTACGTGTGCATATGGCCGGGTATGATTATGGTACTGGCAGTCGCAACAATGGCAACACTGAGAGGGGGATGCTATTCTTTTCATCACCACTACCAGCGAATTACTGTTTGTTGGTTTGAACATGTGTATGAGTTTTTTTTATCTTCTTCGTCTTATTTTTGTTTTTGGTTATAATTTGTATTCCAACAGCAATGCTGCATCTACCAGTCATAGCTGAATGGAGGACACAACTACGAGTGCATGTACAGTATGTGATGGAGACTTTAGTCCACTTACCTATGGAGCTGACCCTGGTGGGTGGGCCTCCGATGCTGGAGGGGGCAATGCTGTGCTTCATGTTAGGGCCCAGCTTGGCGGCAGCGGCTGCAGCGACCTGTGGGGAAGTTGGGGGGGAGTTGGGTGACTTGCTCTCGGATGCCTTAGGCTTGGCCGACAGGTTCAGTGGCTGTGCACCCTCACTGTCCTGCAAAAACCAAAACAGCACAGTTTCGCCTGCTGTGACCACCATAGAAATTTGGAAGCAGGAGGCAGGGGTGGGGTGGGGGGGACCCCTTCCCCTTACCTCACCGAGACAACTCGCAAATGAGGCTTTAACACGTACCAATGTAACAGGAGCCCATGCACAGCAATGGGACAAATAACAAGGTGCATGCCACTGCCTGGATCCAAACAGCCCGTCATAAGCAAAACACTTTTTGCAGCAAACAACAATAACCACTGACATTTACATGCAATAAACTGACTTCGTACACAGCGAAGTCAAGATGATTCATGCATGTGCACGCTCCACATGCACGCTCAAGTAAACATTCAATGTAATTCTGCTCCTCGACATGCTTCAAACAAGGCCAGGGGTAAGAGCAACAATCACACACCATGTTTTTTCTTTCTAAAACTACAGTCTGCGCCTCTCTTTCATACAGAGGAACACCTCCCTGAGTCTGAAGACATGGTGACTTCTCAGCATGAGACGGCGAACAGAACAGAGGACTGTCTGCCACTTCAATGTGCACTTGCTCCATTAGAAACTAGGGTCATGTCTGTGAACATGGCAGTGTGTGAAGGGCAATGCGAAGCAGCACTTTCTGCTTCAAAGACACACGCGCACATTCCCAGGAACCAATCAATAACTTGTAAAGTAGCTGTTTTTTTCGGTCCATGCTTTTGATGCCAACAATAGTCATATGTATAACTAAGTGCATCAAAATCCAAGCATGTGCGCACACAGCAATAACCTCAAATTGTGACCCTCTAGACAGAGGGCCCCTAAATGAATCGGCATGTGGACCACCGCTCGACGCCGAGGGCTGTTATCTCGTTAATTGTCATGACAACACCACCCCTGCTGATGATCTAATCCAATCAATGGGAGTTTTGGAGGGTCACATGACGGGAAGGAAGGAATTAGATCGCCCTGGGGCCAGCTGTATACAGACCACTCTGTGTAATTAAAACTCCTCAATTAAAAGGCAGACCCAACACGGGGCCGGGGACAGCCTAATGGGCCCGCTAGTAAATATGCACAATGGTGTTTATGTCTATTTAGAAAAAACGTTTGCATTCTTTTGTTTTATTACAATAATATATTCATTATTCCTGGGTTTAGATTTCATAAAACCAAGTGCTAAGCATTACAGGTGTGCCCTATTGTGGCTACATTTAAACCTTAGAATAGAGACATTATTTTATTTTATGGTCATTAGTCTAATTGCTGCTTAGGCGGAGAAGAATCACCATACAGTTGGATCCAAGGAGCTAGTACTGTGTGTGTGTGTGTGTGTGTGTGTGTGTGTGTGTGTGTGTGTGTGTGTGTGTGTGTGTGTGTGTGTGGGGTATACCCACTCATTAAGGCCGACTTTCCCTGATTCCCACTCCTTGAGTCGTTCTAAGCCTTATGAGCCCCTCACAACTCAATTAAGCCCTTCCAATTAAGCCCCTACATGTGTACGTGCCTATGCGTGTGTGCGATCACCACTTTGTGTGTGTGTGCGATGAGGCCTAACCGGATTGTCCTTCATTAGGGGGGTCTTTCTAAATAGACGGAGGACCCCCAAAGATGCCTTGAGTGAGACAATGGGCCGGAGAAGAAGAGGAGAGAAAGGAGGAGAGAAGAACTGAGAGGGATCTTCTCAATCCTGACCCATATTATGGTGGGCTTTGGCTGGGAACGATATTTATTACAAATAGATAATGCCTCCGCCTCTTGTACAGTGGATGGGGGGAGTTTCCTCTCCGCGCCAAGCCAAATCCTATGGTGGGAAGGTGGCCAACCTGCATTATGCCAGTGTGGAGGAATTAGTTTAGACAGTGGAGCTGAGAGGCTTGGACCGAGTTGTTTATGTGTGTGTGTCACTGCGAGACATTGTTCAACAAGCTCTAAATCTCATGGCAACGTGCGTGTGTGTGTGTGTGTGAGTCTGTGTGAGTGTGTATGAGGCCTCTAAAGCCTCTGAAAGCCCTGGAATCTTGAATTAATACAATTGCTTTTGTGTCTCTCTTGGCTGATGAAACAGTCTCCAGCTTTGAGACCGAAAACATGCAGAGTGACAACGAGAGCCAGAGGGACAGGGAGGAAGCAGGAGGGGAGAGATAGTGTGAGTGTGTGTGTGTGTGGGCTGTATTTCACTTCTGTGGATGCCGACATGTGAAAGCGACATCAGGGCTCTGCATCTTATCACTGGGGCTGATGGTTCAATTAACAGGACAAGTGTGTGTGCCTCTGCAATTCATCATGGGCAGGCTCCTGTGTGTGTTAAGGTGTGTGTGCTACAACAACTATGTCAGGACCCCAACGTGTTCCTCCCTCCTTTCATCTCTCTGTCTCTCCTCCTCTCTGTTTCCTCCTCTCTTCTTCCCTTCTAGCTGTAAGTGACTGTTTGGATATTAATTATATTGTCATATCTAATTCTCTCAGACAGCAGACGACACAGAAGAAGAAGATTTGACACCGTTCCTCACACTGGGTGGCACCGATTCAAACACTTACTCCTCAAGTACGTGAATGCACTTCACATTTTCTACTAATTTGGAGAAAACCGATGTGTTGACGTGACTTTACCTTGAAAGTCTAGACTGATTGTTTTATTCTCCCTCATTGGAGTAGGCTTGTTGGCACTTGTTCATACTCTTATCCAATAGATGGAAATGACTTGAATACTTGTTATAATACTCCCATGTAAACCTACTCTGCAGCAATAAAAGTCATGCTTTTAGAGGTTATTATCATTAAGAAAGATACTAAACATGGCCACACTATTTTTTGATTTAGTGTAGAAATAAAAGGTTGAATAAAAAGGTCATCATGTATACAGTGCCTAAGTAAATGTGACGTCTGGCCACTGCGTGTGTGTGACTGCATGTCAGCGAATGGTCTACATATGGTGCACAATTTGAATCGCACTATTGTATGGATCTGTATGCATGCCTGCCTACGTCCACTCTTGCGTATAAGAAAGCTGCTGAATGTATGCTGCAGTGATTTGTGCATGGCTATGTGTGTGCGTCTGTGTAGGGACTATTTGGCATGGTGTCTTCTTCAACACCTGTGTATGTGTGTGTGCGTTTGCGCACGGCTGTGTGTGTCCGTGTCTCACCCGAGGGTAAAGCACTTAAGCGTTGTGTGCCTGAGTCCAAACAGCTGTGAGCAGAGGCAGGCAGCGCGTGTCTAAATGACTAGAGACCTGAGATAGAGCCCACAGGGGGAGCACACCTCTGAAATATACATGTCACTCACACTGAGAGGAAAAGAGAGTGTTGGAGTGCTGCAGTGGTCAGTCTGGATGAAAGAAATTAAAAAAAGTAAGACAGACTGAGATTGAAAGAAATATATCTATAAAATGCTACAAAACTCTAGTCTGAAGTTTGTTCACAAACACCAAAGCAGCGCTGCGTTCAATCGGCCAGTTTGGCTCCATGGGGCCTGTCGGGGGGCCATGTGGGGCCACGCCTCCCCACTTCCCCTCCACCACAGGCCGCAGCACTTGCCCCTCAACCCAACTCCATATATATGGTAATAAGAGGAGTGTGTCGGTTGGGCGGAATAGTGTGTGTGTGTGGGTGTGAAGGGAGGGGATGATGGACAAGGAAGCAGGGGTGCAAGCCCCGGGATCAACCGCATGCTTTAGTCTGGGCCATGGGCTAGTCCTGAACGTATGTTGTGTGTGTGTGTCTGTGGACATTGGGGTTAACATGGGTCCATAACAAGGGGCAAAAAAGAGATTGATGAAGAAGGATGGAGAAGTTAAAGGAAATAAGGAAAGGAGAAGGGAGGAAATAAAAGGAGAGGAGAGAAAAGACGAGGTGAAAATAGGAAAATATTGGAAACTATGTTCAAATAAATCGAATTGTCAATCTCTGATTTTGAGTGTTGTCCTATTATTACACACAGAAGTCTTATCCCATGTGTGTGTGTCTCTGTGTTGATTTGGGAATGACCACTACACTTGTGAGGGGGTCCGAGGGTGGACAGATGATGGCAGGGGCATGTTGGTTCTGTGTGTGTGTGTGTTTATGTGTGTGTGGGGGTCAGGGCCACAACGGCTGACCAGATATTCATAGAATTCCACTTGGTTGGACACAAGGCTTCTCCTCAGCCCCGTTGTGCGGCCAGCCGAGAAAACGGCACAAACAGCAATACATCCTCAAATCCAGCGCGGCCATACTGACCCAGCTGGAGGTTAGTGATAAAAGTTCAGCTGTTTGATTTGCAGAGTCACAGTGAGTTTTGTCAGAGACAAGTTCTACCAAGGCATGCATTAGTATGAGGAGCTGACCGTTGCTCTGACACTTGTTTGATTGGTGGAAAAAGGACAAGACTCGGGATGCAACCTGGGACAAGCGTGGACAAACATTTCAAACTCATGCACAATCACTCTCTCGGTCTCTGTCGTAACACTAGAAAGGCCAATGTGTGCACAGTTCAACTGCTCGAGTCATTTATGTCTATATTTGTCTAAAACTATATTCTAATTTTAAACAAATTGCCAGCACAGATATCATTTTTTAATTGGCTTTCAAAAGAAATCCAATTTTGTAAAGAATTTTAAAGAAATGGGTGCCTCTTTATATTTAAATAAAAGAATATGACAGGTCAAATCTCTGACAAAAATGTTGCGCTGTTTAATGGTTAATTTGTATTAAATAAAAATGTTTAGCCTATATTCTTTTCAAGTCATTTTCTACCTGGAATTTCTTTTTGATTCAACATAATTGACTAATATTGGACACCCAAGCTTGTGAGCCAAGTAATGCACCAATCCACTGACTTTTCTATTATTAAACACACACACACACACACACACACACACACACACACACACACACACACACGCACACGCACACACACACACTCTCTTGGATTTCTCTTACCTTTTTGTTCGGTAGCGGGGAGTTACGGCCCTTGTCGCTCTGTGAGTGTGTGTTGGTGGGGGGGGAGTGGGTGCCCATACTGCCTTGGGGTGGCAGGCTGCCTCCGTGCTGCTTGGCCCCCGGGGAAACCTGCATGGCTGCCAGCTGAGCTGCATACAACTGCTGCAGACAGACAGGTAGAGAGACAGAGAGACAGGCAGGAGTCAAGGT